ATTGCAGTTTTGTGTATAAATAAAACAAAAGCAGCCTATTTAGGGAAAGGATGGAGCAAAAATGGTGTTAAGAGTGCATTTCTTAAACTACAATTTTATTTATAGAAGCCAGCAATTGTGTCATTGGCTCTATGGCTCCAGGGAATGTGCTTAGACGGAAACATTCCTAGTAAGTGAGAACTGTTCTTGGCACCAACTGGACTCCACCATAAGAGTGGCTGTGTGCGGCTTTAATTATCTTGGGGCTGGAACATTACGGCTGAGAAGGAATGAAAGTGTGTTAAATTCAGTTGGTAAAAGAAAGTAAATCGTCTTGAGCAGAACCAAGAGCCCACAGTTAGTTACCATGAGCATTAGATGCCTTCCAATTCCTTGAATACAAATCTAAGGCCTGCCTAGAAATGTGAGCTGAAGGTGGAATTCTGCAAATGCTGAAGGCTGTTTTTTGGAAGCACTTTTCTGCTTCCTTTGACTCTCTTCTCACATCCTGATTTAACATCCATTTAAACAAAGTGTCAGGGATAAGCTCAGGATACAAAGCAAATGGTCTACATCTGAATTACATCCTTTTGTGCTGTTTGTCGAAACTGGAGAACAGAGCTTGGCTATGTTATTTTTCTTTGCTATGATTCCCAGAAACTCCCAATTTGATTCTGGGAGTTGCAGTCCAAAAAAGTAATATTTCCGAGTTCTGAAGAATAGATAAAGCCACTCTATAATTGAGAGCATACATCTGAATTTCTTATTTCTTACTTATTTATTTGCAGTATTTATATACCACTCTTCTCAACCGCGAAGGGGACTCAGAGGGGTTCACAGTGTTGGCAACAACTCAATGCTATGGATAAAAAAGTATAAAACATCAAAATTGACCCTGCCTTGATAAAACATTAAACATTATTAAACACATCACACAAAATAACATCACATATGACACAAAAAATAGCTGTTGTCCGTAAGCAGTTTTGTATTGTGACATGAGGAAGAGTGAATTTTGAGTTCTAAAGGGATGTAACTTATCTTCCCTTCTTCTCACTTAGGTCTTTCTCCCCTAAAAATTCTAAAACTGTATGTGTTTTTAATAGGAAATTTTGATTTCTTGGTTATCTGTTAGGTGTATTGATTTATTTTTTGTGTCGGAAGCAAATTGAGGGTACAGTTGAAATGTATTTAAAACACAAAGTTAAAAACTTGGCATTATGCTAAATGTCCTTTGACCAGAAGCTGACCACTTGGAGTGCCTCTGGTGTTGCTGTGAAAAGGTCCTCCATTGTGCATGTGGCAGAGCTCAGGTTGCATTGCAGTAGATGGTCTGTGGTTTCTCTTCTTCGCACTTGCATGCCGTGGACTCCAATTTATAATTTATCTGGCCTCAGCTACAGATTGAGGTTTCAGGTTTTAGCCTGCCACTTTTGGATTCTCCCTTGCTGAGGTGTTCCTGCAAGTGTCTCTGCTGATCTTAGGAAGCTATTTCTTGATTTAAGGCATTGGTATGCTGGTTGATATCTAAACAGGGGATGGGCCGAAGATGTCAATGCCTTGGTCCTTTCATTATTGGCTGCTTCTTCCCGACGGATGTTAGGTGCTACAATACCAGCTAAACAGTTTTAATTTCTCCAGTGGTGTGGGATGTAGACATCCTGTGATAATGTGGCATGTCTCATTAAGAAACACATCCACTGTTTTAACATGCGTATGCAGCAGCAGAGTACCAAAGCTCAAGGGTAGATATCTTCACAGTGTCTGGTTGTGATCCCCAAGTTGTGCCAGTCAGTTTACATACACCTCATATTCTGTAAACAAGCTTTTGGATTCTGCATGCTTCTTATAAGCATGGTCCAGAGTGACTCCCAGGTGTTTGGGTGTCCAGCAATGCTCCAGTGGGATTCCTTCCCAGGTAATCCTCAGAGCTCGAGAATCTTGTCTGTTCTTAAGATGGAAAGCACATGTCTGCATTTTAGATAAATTAGGAGTCAGCTGGCTTTCCCTGTAATAGGCAGTAAGAATACCTAAAGCTTTGGAGAGCTTCTGTTCAACCATTTCAAAGCTCCCTTCTTGAGCGGTGATGGCACGATCGTCAGCATAGATGAAACTGATCCAGTTTTGACCATTTTTACATTTTAGAATGTTAAAATTATAATTGATGGATACTCTTTGCCAAAGACTCTTTTTGGAAGGATTAACCTTTTAGGAATTGAAATTGGTGATTGTGTGAGATAATAATCAGATTGCTGTACAGTGTTATATTT